CGCGCGGAATGATCAACGAAAGAAGGGTGTCTTTGGAACGCTGACCACCGATGCACTTCCGGTCAGACGGAAACGTTCTAGTCTTCGGCAAGATGATTTAAACACGCCTCGTTTATCGATCTCTGAACACACCAAAAAGTCGTATAACGAGAGGCTCATCTGATCGGTCTGCATTTAGGGCTGTTCAAATCTCCGCGTGTGCGTGTGTGTGTGTGTGTGTGTGTATGTTTGTATTTTTTTCTCGCCAACGATTAAAATTTCTTCACGCCCCTATTTACTTTATCGTATTTTTTTTCTCGTGTATTTTCACCTCTCCTTTCGTGTCATTTAAATTCAATTCACATTATTAGGGTATAATAATTAATTAATTAATTAATTAATTATAATAGTGTCATTATAATTCGTAATAATATACAACATTTGTCAATAGATCATTTATCCTAAAACCCACTGCATGCTCGTGTCGAAATAATCATTTAATCCTGCTCTTTCTCTCTATTCGTACTTATTCATTCACGCATATACTCTCTTCCCGTAATTTCTTATCGAGTGTTTCCTCGCGCGTCAATCATACGTTTATTTTTCTTTTTTATTCATTATATTAGAAATCCCCTTCTCTCTCTCTCTCAATCTCTCTTCCACCATTTTTCTTCGTACTCTCACGCTGTGGGATTGTGTACTGGCTTCACGCGTAGCTTATCTATCTAATTCAATGATTTCTGTGTGGTTGCAACTGCATGTCTGTGATGTGTGTGTGTGTGTGTGTGTATGTGTGTATACCATATCTGTCTCTGCACGCGTTTATTTTGTCTTTCCACGATCTATCGGTCCAACTCACTCCGGTCTTTTGCTTCCTATTCACGGAATCGAACAATTCGAAGGGTCGACAAAATGGCCGCCGTGCAACGGAAACGAACGTTACAAGATGGCCGCGATCGATTCTCGCCCACATATATCCCGTGGATCGAAAAGGAGAGAGAAACAAAATATACCAGATTAATGACACACGGGATCCTTCTTTTTCCTGTACACGTGTGTCTCCGCCAGTTGTGTATGTGGAGAGAATGTGCATGACGGGTATGTGTACGTGTATGTCTGCGGATGGCTTTGTACATATTCGCGCGTTCGAAATTAGAATCACCCAAAAGCGCAGAGTTCATGGACGTGATGAAACGCCGACGTTTGTAACCCCTCACCCCTCTTCGTCGATCTATCGATCCTCTTAAACAGTGTACACTGTCTTCTCCCGTTTTCCCTCGAATACTTTCGCCGATCACACGCCACTTCTTAACTACCGTGCACGAATACTCGACGAAGGGATATAACCGACTATTTTATACCTGTGAAAATCCCATATTCTCGTTAAATGAGCTCCCGTGAATTTGCTACGAAACTATCCCGTTCTGATACCTTTGTTTCCCTCGTATATATGGAATCGTTACGACTTCCTCGAAAGGATCTTGGAGGTCGAACAATTGAAAAGTCAAATCGGTTCTTATCTCGTGCTTCGTTCAGTCGTCCCCTGAACAATCCACGGAGGTCCTGAACAAGCCACGATCGACAAGGTGAAAAATCGACGAGAAATTTCGCTTTTTTCTTTTTTTTTTTTATCGCGGCCCTGTCGAGAGGAATCGGGGCTAAAGTCGAAGAGCGGCTTACCGGAGAGACAAAGAACGACGGTCGAACAATAAAAAAAGAGAGACGCAGACTGTTGTTTCCCTTTCTTTTTTTGCAAACGGTTTCGGAAGGTGATCTTTTCTTTTTTTTTTAATTGGAGTTACAATCAATCGAAGCAGAGCTCGTACCAACGTCGTGTCTTCGTGGTGACACCAGTCGAGGGGGAAGAAAACTAATAAATATATATATATATATATATATATATATATACACATATATATGAACGTGTATGTGTTCGGTGATACGTGTCACGATACAACTAGAAGCGATGTTCCTTTCTTACAATTAAAGTTTACCGTATCTAACGTGCGACGACCGTGACATCTATCCTGCGTACACACGACTTCGAATCCACGAGGATGGTCTAAAACTTTAAAAAACATGGGGAACATTATTCGATTTCCCGTCCGTCACGACAAATTCGGAACAGAGGAAATATAATAAAAAAAAAAAAAAATCGCGCGATAGTTTAGATTCGAAGATCGCGTTCGGCGGCGAGGGGACTCGAGAAATGTCCTTGAACCGTCTGCCTCCCACTTGAACGACCCAAAGAATACCGAAGAGGCATGACTACGCTGGTACATGTAAGATCTAAAGTGAACGATCACTTAGCTTGACATGATCTTGTTTGAAACAATTTCATACAAATAAATTCCAATATTCGACCGCCAATATACTTAGATACAAATATACGCGTTATTTAAAGCATCGTTCGATTATTAAGAGAAAGAAAAAAATTTGATTATCTTCATTTCAAGCCCCGAACGCGTTTCGGCGCGGTGGAATATTCAAGTGGGTAACGCGGCTTAACGACGGAGCACGCTTTCGAATCGTCATTGTGTATATTGTATAATGCCCCGTTCTGCTTGGCTCGAGAGAGAGAGCATGAACAGCGAAGGAAAAGAACACAACGAGTCACGAGGATTAATACAAAAATAGGAACAAACGTATAAGCATACAATGAGGAACATATATATCATGTACAAACGTAACGCGCAAGGAACTTCATACTAGAAATGATTCATAGTGTGTAACACGTAATCGGTGCCGCGTGGATTTTCCTCCGAATATACATACGTGTATATGTGTCTCTCTCTTTCTCTCTCTGCGTGTGTGTGTATGATCCATATGAGAAAAATGTCGCGTTGAACGAAATTAGATCATCGCATTAAGTAACAGAGACGTGGGTTCCGCGATTCGCGCCACAACGAAGACAGCACACGCATAATCGGTTGGTAAGACGCTACTGAACTCCGCGGAGAAAAAGAAAGACAAAGAACGAAAAAAAAAAAACACCCAAAATACGGTCACACAATGATCGGACGTCGGTACGCGCTGCGCTGTGCGATAGAAGATGCGACATAGAGATGCTTAGGAGCTAGGTTTAGATCGGTAGAACGATGGACAAAACATGTTTAGACCGTGTGTCTAACATCCGACGTGCAAAATACTTTCACTCCACCCCCATTTTTTTTTCTCCAGCCTAGGTCATCTCGTCTCCGTGAATTAATATTAATAACAATAAAGGGATGAAGACGTTACAAAGACTCGACGTTTTTTTTCCCTCTAAAATCCGGAGGGCAATCAGGGCCTGTGCGTTGGCGTTCGATCGGGCTCCGCGCTTGAATATCTTCGGTTTTCTAAGTGACGATCCGGTCCTCTAACACACACCCACAATATCCTCTCTCTCTCTTTCTCTGAATCCCTCCAATATTCGACATCACACATACACAAACACAGATTCTCTCTCTCTCTCTCTCTCTCTCTCTCTCTCTCTCTCTCTCTCTGTTTTTTCTATTCTCGCATACGCTTGCACAATACGTCGTACTTACCATATACATCTTACAATAACGTTTTTTTTTTTCATATTCATTTATTCTATTAATTATATCAATACTGTTGACGGATAGAGATTCATTCACAGCTCGCACCAGAGCGAATGATCGTCTCTGCCGCAGCGCGCGCGCACGGTGGCGTTCTTCTCGCCTCGTTTCTAGTCCCCATTCGTTTAAACCTCGGATTTTCACGTTTCCCCCTCCCCGAGAAAAGGGTTTTCTTTTTTCTCGTTTTTTCGTTCTCCATCGACCAGTCAATCCACCCCATTCATTATTTTTAATTATACTTTGTCCTTTGTGTTCCGTTTTCTTTTTTTTTCATTCCGACATCAATATGGGTTTTATCACACGAGAGCTAAAACGCCGTCTTCTCGTCGCGTGTCCTCCTTCTCGCCCACGGTGTCCCAGTCCAGGCGTTCACTAGACCACCCCATATCTCTTTCTCTCTCGAAGAGCGCCGATTACAACGGTTCGAGGGGATACACACAAGTCGACGATCCCTGGTTCCAACCGGGACACCGGGCGCGTCCTCTCCTCGGCCGATTCAAGGATCAGAAGAACGAGGACACACACGCACACACATACGCCTGAAGAACCTCGAACGGTGCGGGGAACACACGTGCCGTCCATCTTCAGCCTCGACAACAATTAAACGCGGTTCGCGGTCACAGCACACGAGAAAGATCGTCGTTGAAAATCAGAGGATCGTATTCCTCGAACACTCGAAAACACGCAAAAAAAAAAAAAAAACGGACGCAAACACCATTCTCTCTCTCTCTCTTTTTCGTTCCCGTTTTTCTCTCTTTTGAACGGAGTCCATGGTTGTCGCGCCGTATAGCCTACAACACATCCGGGCCTCTCAATATCCTTCTTGCGATCTGTCCCGAGAATTCAATTCGTTTCTCGACACAGACGATCATGTCATCATCATCATCATCATCATCATCATCATCATCTTCATCATCATCATCATCATCATTATCATCATCATCGTAATCATCATCGTAATCATCATCATCATCACTTGTGACCACGCTGAGCTAGAAAGTACTCAATATGCTGCAAACAGATCAGCTGCTGCATCAAGCTCTGCAGCGGGTCTTGGCCCTGAGTATGAGGTGGTTGTTGCCCTTGCTGGAGCAGCGGCGGCTGCGTCAAGCCTCCACCAGTAGGCTGTACGCCTGGCGGCAGCATCGTGCCGGCTGGACCACCGGACTGCTCGGCCAACAATTGCCGTTGAAGCTGTTGCGCCTGGTAATGGGCCACCGCGACCAGCTCCGAGGATTCCATCCCCATGGAGGCCGCGGCGGCGGCTGCGGCCGCGGCGTGGCCAAGTTGCAGATGCTGTTCCGCGTGTGTATGGCCGGACGACAGGCCGAGGCCGCCGCCGCCGACGGCTTGATGGCAGCCGAACGACGACGGATGCACGCCAATGTGGTGCGACGACGCGAGCCTGCCGGCCGTGGCGCCAGCAGCAGCAGCAGCAGCAACAGCCGAGGAGGCCATATAGGCGCCGGGGAGGTTAGGGTTCTCGCCCCGCTAGGGAGCCACGTTCTTGGGCCTGCGCCCCCGTCGCCCCCTGGTGGGGGGGCGCGGGGACTCCTGGCCTCACTGGCTCACCGCGGGGCTCTTCTTGTCTTGTTGCTGTTGACTGGCGTCCTGCGATCCCTGTACACCACCCGACCCGCCACCCTGGCCACCTTGTACACCCTGGAAAAGTCGGACACCGTTGGCTCTTACTACCTTCCCGTTTCCTATAGGAAAAATTCTCGATCTTTCAGCAAGGTCTCGGCCAGGCAGGATACCGCCGGGGTAGTTATTTATATGTATGTATGTATGTATGTATGTATTATGTATCGAGGTTTACACGAGATTCTCTCGGTCTGTGAATTAAAAAAAAAAAAAAAATAATAAGTAAAGATCGGATCAAATAATTACCTGACTACCGGGTCCTCCCTGCGGCGGGCCAGGGCCGCGATCTGGTGGCCAAGAGTTTCCCGGTGTTGGTTCCGAATGGAACTGGTGAGGATGTGGTGGTGGTCCGCCCGTCGCGTCGTGACTATGCGGGTCCAGGCTATTCGTCGCGTCGTACTGCGTGTTCTCCAACCTCGTGATTAACCGCTCGTCCTCGTCGCCGAAGTCGCCGCCCATCAGCGACGGTTCACCCACAACCATTACGTCCTGATCGATACCGAGAAACAAAACACATGAAGGAAACGTTAGGGGTGATTTGGGATTGGTCCGGCCATTTTTTCATACTCTTATCGGTTTACAACTTAATTAGATGAATGTTCGAAGGCTCCACGGCACTGGTAACGGAAGAATCTCAACTGTTCGTCTTAGATTTTAATGGGATCTCATAAGGTATTAGGCATATGTTAACGAAGCCTCGGAGAACTTTTTCGCTAAGGAAGAAGTTGTTTCAAATTACCCCAGGGATCACCCGTTTCAAGAACTTAAAACTATTTTCGGACATCCTGTATACCACAATAATATCTTTCAGCAATTTTTCTATCGAAATTTCTCACTGATTTGGGCTTTCTAGTTTGTATTACTGTACGAATTATACAAGTATAAAATGTAAAGATGGCGATTTTGAAATATGACAGTCGGTGTGGCCCACGCTGTATCCAGTTATACAGGATCAGTGAGTCACGGCGCTCAGCAGTGGAAATGAGGTCTGAACACTCAGTAGAGTCTTCGAACACTCATCGAATATTCACTGTACGTACTAGAAAAAAAAAAGAACCACTCACCTGTGACGCCAGAGCAAAATTCGGGCCTGGCGAACGCTTTTTGCTGGGCGCGGGCGGCGCGTTGTTTCCCGGCCCGGACGTGCTGCCCTTTCGCTTTCTTCGTTTGCTGGCCGGCCTCTGGGACTCTGTAAGAATAGACACACGATGAAACGGGGTTGCGTACCGTGGGGACACGCAGGGGCACGACGCTAGCCATGTAGCAGCGCGCTAAGAAACTTCAGACCGCTACCCAGCATATTGGACCTTTTTCCAACAATCAAAGGTCTCTGACACACACAAAGCATGCATGCATCGGTGGACAGACAGAATAGAGAAATTGTTATAATTAAGAAAAAAAAAAAAAACGTCTTCATCTAGATGAACAGATCTCGCGTAACTCTTTCGCCATGAAAAGTTATTTAAAGAGGAAGAGTCTGTGCGCACTCCGTGTAGAGTCTTTACAGAGAAACACGCATCGCATATATTCGAAAGAAAAAAAAACCGTATTCCGATTGAGCTGTTACCCCCGCGTTACTCGGTTCCATGATTTCGCCAACCTTGAATCGCGACCGACCAAGGGAACACAGGATAACGATGGAGGAAGAGGCGGTTTGTGTGTATGTGTTGACTGTGTAATGGTGGAACAGGAAACGCGGTGTACACGCATACGCATGATAAAAATGGGGCGATAAAGTCCAGAGAGCGAGAAGAAGCGGTTGAAGGTGTGCACGCAACAGCGTGATAGATCGTGTAAAAATCAAGGAACTGTGCACTTATCTCTTTGCTTGTTGCGTACATCAGGGTCTCGAACAATCGCACGATATCCCCCTCCCTCTGAGGAAGCGTAAGCTTTTTCACGAGTGGAAACAATTTCGTTCAGGAACATGGGCGTAGCCAGGGGCCTTACTCCCTCCCCACTCGACAGAAAAAAGTGGCTTTTGCATTTCTTCTAGAAGAAAAAAATGGCTTTTGCACTACTTCTAGAAGAAAAAAATGACTTTTGCACTACTCTAGAAGAAAAAAAGAGTGGATTGTGCACACCCCCCCCCCCCTAGAGGAAAAAATTTTACGTGGCGTTCCTAGTTGGGGTTCCAAAGGTGCCTCCGTCCGCACTTGGGCGGCCAAAAAAAGGAACGACCGCAGATCATTTATTATATGTGAAATTTTGGCCAATAAGAATAATAATCAAAACTTTCTTTACGATTATGAAAATTGTATATAAACAGAATTTAGTCAAAGTAGTTTTATATGTAATCTCTGTAACACTACTCGTATACAAGAATGAACTATGTTTATGGACAGCCCAAGATCATTATTACAAACATTATACGTTAATTTTGTGCTTATTAGTGGATTAATTTGTACTTATATCTGTTTTTGCACCCGGGCGGCCAACGACCCAGGAACGGCCCTGGCCCCGCTCCTGACTGATAACCTGGCTACGCCAATGTTCAGGGAATGTGTGTGTATGTTTTCAGCAGGTTTCACCCAAGGTCCGCGACACATTTGGATGAAAGAAGGAACATTTTGATGAACAAAGGGACCATGAAGGTGAGAGGGTAGATTATGAAGTAACACGAGGACACTGTCTACGGATGGAAAACGCATTCTGGCCGTGGAAAACGATTGGAACCGAGGGTTCGTGCCGCGACAAACGTCTCGACGACGATTATATACGTCGTGATATTTTTTTTTCTCTCCCGAATTACAAAACCAAATCCTGCGGTAGACTGGTCGGCCGTTTGGCTCCACTGGCTGGTGCTTCTCATGTAAAGCAACTGTTCGTCTACCTCTCTTACCCGGCGGGGCAACCATCCTCTGCCATTTCTGGAACAAGGTCGTCTTCAGGCAATCCCGCGGTGACAACGCGTACGCCTTGTGCCTCGACATTAGCTCCTGCATCGGCTCCAAGATCACGCATAACTGGAAGCACAAATATAGAAGGACGATCATTAAGTATTGTGGCATCGTCGCCTACGAAACAGGAGAGGAATCATTCGTTTTGGTTTTTTTTTTTTTCTAGGAAATTCTTAGGGACAGTGGAACTACCAGCGTTGAATGTATACGAAATGCAAATACAGGCTGTAACAAAAATGTTGGAGGACCCAGACATGGGAGAATCGTGAGGTTATTTGAAACAAGTTTTTCCTAAGCAAAAATGTTATCCCAGGCTTTGTTAACGAGATATTAACGAAAAACCCCGACCAATCGAAGGGTGTGTCAGCGTTTGCTGTGTTCCCTTGTGAGTCAAAAATCGATACGCATGTCATCACTGATTATGTGCAAAATAAAGTAATGGATGTAGAAGAAAAAAAAAGGGAAAAACAAAGAAAAATTTCTGTTTATTCATATCCCTCTGTCGAGTACGATCGAACATTCGAAATCAAAGGGAAATTATACCGGGTGAGAACGATACGTTATTTAAATGCGATGCGACTTCGACGTGGAACTTACGCGCGCTATTAATATGAAAATTATCGTATACGGCCGTGTGTGCACCGGTTGAAAATAAACTTCCTAAAATATATTCGCGTGGCGGGTAACGTGCGGCCGCGAGACCTCGTACCGAATGAAATTTCGTTTATGTTTCGTCCTCCGTTGTAATAAAACTTGAAATCCATTTCACATTATTATTATCATTGTGATTATAATCGTAAGAGCGTTATGTTACGGCCTTTACGTTATTACGATGACAATTAAAGTAATCAATGACGCGTGATTGGATAGGAAAACGTCGGTTGGCTTGAAATTTTACAAAATTTCATATAATTTCCATTAATATTCGTGTTAATATCGCGGGAGGTGTGTTCCTGATCGATTCGTTCGCGGCATTTCTGTTCGTTAAATTAATGGGTTGTAATTTTACGAGAAGCAAAAAAAATGACCGGAAGGAGACGTTCGTATGAAAATTTGGTACCTGACGGAATCTATCTATAGAAGAACGTGTGGTGATCGACGAATTGAAAAGGACGGGGGGGGGGGCACCGTTTCGGAATTCGTACACGAGCGACCGACCGAGTTCTCCGAGGCGTTTTCTCGACAGCTTTCGATTAACGACACAACAATCGTTTCAGCGAGCAAAGAGCAGCGATACGCGCGAGTGAAAGCGCTTCCGAGCGTGCAAAGAAGGTGGATCGTAACCCGGATACGCGGGCCCGTACTTTCGCGAGCCGATCTCTTCTGATACCTGGCCCATTTAGCCCTTCACGCGTGCTGTATTCTGTGCGTTATTTCTATTCTCCAATGTCCGAATAATTACCGAAAATAAGCGTGTCCATCGTTGTGCACTAAGATATTATTCTGTTCAGGTACGAATTTATTAAGACCAGAAATAATGTTTTAATTAAAATATTTGGTTAAATATCAATTGGTACAATATCAGATCGATCGAATAAAATCGAAGTGGTACATTTGAGGTCTTTCCCTTGTAAGATGCTATAAAATGGTGCTAGCACTCAGAGACTTCATACTCTGCTATTTGAATAAAAGAAAAAATACAAAAAACATTTCACGAAGAAAAATTAATATTTAACTTTTATCAGCAAGGATCCGTAGTTTCTCTGATGTAAAGTAGATCACCATATTTTCCATAAAAAAAACGAAAAAAAAATTTGTAAAAGCTAGATGTGTTTAATATCGATATCTTCGTCTCATAATTCTGAGAATTGAGGGTCTGGGGAGTGAAAGGGTTGAAGGAGTAGATTCGTATTGCTCGAATAAAGTTGTCATCTAATACACCGAGAACTAAGCGTTCATATATACAGAAAAATATTCACGAGTGTCTTTCGACTTGCCGAAAAATCGGCTCGAGGCGAGAAAGGATCGATTATGCACGGTTGAATCCGCGTGGGAGTTGACGTGTACTCACCCTAAGGTAGTTCAGGGTGGAATTAGTGATACCCTGCCTGGTGATGTTCTTGCTGAGCTGCTCGAGCATCGTCGGGTCTTGTTGCATTCCGACCACGGTCCTAGGTACCAGCTCCTTGTGCGTTCTCACCGACATGTGCCACGACTTTATCCTCATAAGGTCGTCGAAGGTGAATTCCAATATTAATCTACCCTCCGTGCATACCTGGTGGGGGGCAAAGGAAGAACATTTACTCTGACGGACAAACTAACTCAGTCTAATAAATCGACACTTACAAAGCCACGAATATAATGCTTGAACTGTGCATTTTAGGCATTTACAGAACACACGATTCTTTAGAATTCACTATATTTCAGAGTTTGATAAATTTTGAAGAATTTTTTATTTTCTTTGGAACCTGGTAGAATAGTAATTAAAGTAAACAGATCTTCTAAAAATATTTCGAAAACTATTACTTAACTTTTATTTGTCAAACTTTACATACAACAGAAGCGATTTCTCCCTATTTTTTTACTATTTTAGTTCTTATTTAAGGAATACGTACTACTACTACCTTAACCGTTCTCAGCTTTTGTTTTTGACAAAACGTACAGCTACGTCATCCGACATCAAAATGTTAAAAAGGTTAGATGGTATTAATGAGGATGGTTTTAACAGTTTCGAAACGCAACGTGTCTATTCTTCAAGGCCCTTCGATAACTATTTTCGCGACACCGTGATTTCGGCGACCCTTACCTTCGTGAACATCGGCTTTCCGTGATGCGTGACCATAACGCAGTGATCACAGTCGAGGGTTATGCTGGTATTGTGAAATGACTCCTTCGGGTGCTTCAAATTGTAGTAAAGTTCCGTCACTCCGCCCTCGAATATCGAGCGGAAGTACCTAGGTATTAACGTCCTGCCTATCGCTGCAACCACAAACAGAATCGCCGTTAGACATATGTGCCCTCCAAGTGTCACGAATCAGACATCATTTGGGACTCGATGAAAAAATTCAATTCTTACAAACTTCATTACCCGGAGAAACACTAAAATTATTAATCGATCAGAGAAAGGTAACGCATTCCACACACTGTTACGTAACAATCGAGAAATTCATTAAACTTGATAATTATACGATATAGCGAGATAAAGATGGGAAAGAAAAATATACACAGTGGCCCCCGCTGTGCACGGATATAATGATAACGGCGCGCGCCGCAGTTTCCAGGATCGGGAAAATTATTCAAGGCCGTGGGCTCGCGCACGGCGCATCTTATTGCATCGGTAATGTGCATCGTCGGAGCTGTCTTTTGCCCACGACGACGTCGACGACGACGACGACGCGATGTGACATGTAATCACGTTGTTACCGTGCCATTCAGCCGGGCGACCGAGATGGGAGGAGTGGAACACGCATTAAAATCCACCGACTGCAAAATTGCTCCGCGGTGGCACGTAATTATCTCGAATGCCCCGTAAATATCCGTCCCACCGAATCCCGCCATTGCGTGTGTGTTTGTGTCTATTTGCCGCCACGAAGATTTCAAGTTTATTTCGCGATACTTACTGTATCTCTTGGGACCGTCCTCCAGGCAGAACGTGAGGGTTAGGGTCGCGTCGTCCTCGAAAAATTCGGTCGCGAATGCGTCCCACCAGAGGTTGTCGCTTTCCTGTGACAGAAAATGTGAGAAGGATTCGTTAAAAACGTGTATAGTTTCGTCAATTATCATCACCACACTTGGTGGAATGTTTTTCTTTTTTTTTTTTTCAATTAAGTCACCGACGAGGTATAAGTAATAGATCTTTCATCTTATGGGAGTAGGTGGCCGACCGAAACTGTAGTACCGACAAAGCCTGTGATTTTAGCGACCTGTACGTTATGAGAACGGCGAACCTACGGCGGTTAGTGACACGACAATGGAAATGGGGTGACGTTGTGCCCCGGAAAAGTGAACCGAAGAAATACATTGGGTGGCGAAATTTCGCGAATACCTTTATTTTACATGAGAACAATCGTGGAGAGCAATTAAATACATCAAATAAAAAAAAAATGTGTCCTAAGTAAAATTAAATATTATTTAATCCTAACGAACTTTGTTTCGATTTATTTGTACATTTACTACAATTTCTAATTATTTCAAAAGGGAAACAGTTATCAAAATTTCATTCGATTATCTTTTGACATAAACGGAAGGCTTAATTCGGCGCTGACCGCGATCAATGCTTCAATATGAAGCGAAGTGACACGCGATCAAGCAGAGTTGTTCTTACGATCCGTGGAAGCACAGTGGTCCCCGGTAACGCGAGGCGCCGGTTGTTCTCCGTTTGCAAACGTGGTACACCCGAGACTTCCGCCGGAATTGCACGACGACCCGTTTACGATCCATTGTCGCTAAAATGTTTCATCTTTTGTTTTTTCTTTTCGTCACTTTTCATTCCCGAATGACATTGAAACCCTGCGCCGACGGCGCTACCAACCGGGTAGGGATGCAATTACAACTACCGGCTGTTGAGCTTTGGTGCAGTGATTCCGAATGAAAGAAAAAAAGAAGAAGAAAAGTGATTGTCTCTAATGATGGCCCATGATACATTGCGAACAGCACGGTGCATCATCGTCGACCGTGCCATACTCGTGTTATTCTACATATATATTGGTGTTCGTCTCGTGGCATGAATATTTATAGCGTCGACACGAGGACGGGGGAAGGGCGACAAACGTTTGAAATTTTTACGTCGTAACCCTGTAGCTCGACACGTCGTAAAACGCTTGATGAACAATAGAACACTATGCCCGCGGACCGATAAGCTCCACGGAGTATCTTTTGCGTGACGGGATAATAAAACACGGGCAACTCGATAGAAAATGAGGAAAAAAAAGATAAGTAACAGAGGCTATGTAGGTCTAGGTGAGATTTTCTATCGAGGTATTGAGGTGTGTGTGTGTTCTTCGATGATCCATAAGGTTATTTGGGCAATCAAAGCGGAGGGATAACAAAGTATGCGCATGACAATCCCTCCCCCCCCTCCTCAGTGGTGAGGATAACGCCTGGACAATAATCGTGTAAAACAAACCAACTTCATTCAATATTCGTATTATAATATATGTATTAAAAAATCTAATTTTCGTGGGACAAGTATTTGTCGATATTAGTATCATCTAAACTTCGACTCTAATAGTTACAAAGATCTCTTAAATGTTCATTCACTGCTGCGTTTACCCTATTTCCTTTTGCACTATACACCACTGTACTCGAACGAAATGACTCTCGCTTATTTTGTCAATTTCTCTCAGTCAGCGCAGCGGATGGTAACCAACAGACTAGAATTACAGTTCCAATTTTTCAAAAAATACGAACAATTCTCTGTTCCCACCCCCTCCCCCTTCCGCCCCACCAGTTCAAGGTTCGCGGTTTCCACGCAGCGTTAATAATCGCTCCTCCTACTCCTCCGCCACTCGAGTGGTTCGCACGGAAGCAGCGGAGCCTCCACGATCGAATACACCTGATTACGCGGAAAGAGAAGATCGCGTAGTCGAGATTAACGATCGACCTTCCCGGATCCAGCAAAAGCGAACGGACGACTCGTCTCGATGGAGAGTTGAGAAAAGACGTTAGGGGGACGAAGACACACAGCGGGAAAATAATAATAAGAGCGGAGGGAGGGATGGGGGTGGGAGGGGGATGAAGCTGGATGCATAATTGAATGAAAGCGCGTCCATAGCCAGGCGGAGGGGTAGTTCCTGGCGAGTGAGGCAGGGGGTGAAATGCTATAATTTCAAGCCAGACAGTCCATGCGTTATTCAGCGCGACCAGCATAGGCCTCCTCTCTGTCTTCACCTTCGTCCTTTGCGCTCGATCCTTCCCTCCACTTTGCTCCTCTTCATTTTCATTCCGAGCCCCGAGGAACACCGGTCCCGCGAGCGTCTAGCTACAGACACGCGTTGTTTGCGAGCCGGAAGTCTTTCGGATCATCGGAGGATTCGATTATACATACCTTAACCGTTTAAGGTGGCTCGCGGGGAATTTTTACTAATTCGAAATTTAGTTGAAAATTTCACGGAACATTCTTGAAATCTTTGACTTTCGATTGCTACCAAAAGATCGTAAGGTCTACGAGATATAATTATTGAATAAACGTTGTACAAATTTCTTTTTCGTACCACTTATTGTACGATAAATTGCATCATCTATGGGAGGCCTTTACTCGCGGACGGGATGTAACAATATCACGGAAGGGGTTTTTTTTTTTTGTTTCACGATAGATCCTACAAACTCGCCCTAAGACAATCGGTTTCTCCAGGGCCGCTTTGAGGCCAGCCAGCGAAGATTTATTTCAGAAAGCGTAAGCCGTGGCCCGTGCCAAATCAAGCAAACTGTTGCCACTTTCGCGCAAATTGATATTTCTGGCGTGCATGTATGTATGTATATACCCCGGCTCCGTGGCGAGCGGTGATCGACGGAGAAAAGGGATCGGGAACACACGTCGAGGATCGAGCGGGAAGAACGGAAGACGAATGCCAAACGTTAAATGATATCTCGAGCAAACTCGATGAGGTTTCAGCATCGATGGTCGTATTATTATGAGGAAAAAGTGTTGATGTTTGGATATACAGAGAGTTGATAATCACAGGGGAACAGTCAATCTGTTGCCAGGGATTTCAGAGTTGATTTTGAGTAATTTAGTCCTTCTGATCCTGAATATGACATTATTTTATTTCTTGATTGGCTTTGGTTTTTGAGATATGCATATATGTCTTAAATTCTTTAGGAAACTAAAAAACCGTGTTGTACGGGTGTTACTTGCATAGGCACTCTTCCTCTCCCTGGACGGAAAAAAGTGGTTTCTGCCCCATCCTACAAGGACAAATTGGATTCCCCAACCCCCTTCCTTCTCAAAGTTACAAAATTTTTGCGTAATATTTAATATTGCAAGGATTTTCAACGATTTATGACTTTAAAAAAACAAAATACAGTGTGTCTGGCTACGTGCAGCCTTTTTCACTGTGGCAGTTGATGTGTTAATATTTTTGCCCCCCCCCCTGACTAATAATTTGGCTACGCCCATGGTTACCTGTATATGTATGTAAACGAACATTTCTCAAGAATTGCACCCGCAACATTCATCGTGCCAAATGATCCATATTATCGTCCAATCGGATCGTAATCGCGAGCACTCGTGAAATTCGAGTTCCTAGAGTGGTCCAGGCCCTCGTGGGAGCCGCAAAAAATCGTGGCGATAGCCGGTAGGAAAGCGCGGCAACGCGCAAGAAATTCAATCTCGATCCCGTGTTAGTCGTGTGGAGGGTAGGGGGAAGGAAAATCTGTCGCGTCGCCGTAGAGACACACAAATCATCGCTGATTTCCACGATGAGCTTGGACAAAGCGGCGAGATACGCGACGTCGCCCTCTTTCGGCCGGCGGGCGCGTATTAGCCGGAGTTAAATTCAATTTGTCCACTGGGCGAAGCGTAGTCGCGAGTGGTGAATAAAAAAAAAAAAAGAAAAAATGGAAAAATCCCCGTTGCCTGCAGAGAGAAACTGATGGAAAATAGACGTCTCCGCTCGCAGGCAGAGACGAAAAATCCGAAGGAATATTATAAACACCCAACAATATATAAACCGTGACTGAAAGTAATCGCCAGATCTGCTGAATCCTCTGTCGAATGTATCGCAAACTGCAGAATTATTACCATGTACAAGAAACAATAGAAAAAAAACCGTGCATGATCGAAACGATTGTTAATGCTTTGGGGAAGGGTTGGGAAAATGATACACATCGTTAAATCGTCGTTCGACGAATGTTTTCCCCGAGAAAACCGTACATCCCGTGCCGCGGCCCTTACCGGTGAATCGAACCAAAAAATAACGATTCCTCGATATTTACATCGGATTTCTCCATAAATCAACCGAGTGGCGCGAGCGTTTTTTTTTCTTTCTAGCTTCGTCGAGAGAGAATCGGATTCCTCGAAGCCCTGTCTCGCGGCTAGAGAGACAGTGTGACCACCCAGCAAAATTATTTCGTCTTAGCTTATGCAGAACTAAAGTATTACATTTGAAAAGAAAGTACTAAATTTGTATTTGCTTGCGTTTCACTCTGTAAAGGGCAATTTCTGATATTACTACCACATTATTTAAGATGACGTTTTGTTGTTATTATTATTAGTATTATTTGGAAGGAAGAAAGAACTAGATCTGTCTGGTGAGCGTATTAGAACACTAAAAATTTTGCGTAAATACTAGGCCTAGTGCGCAAGTACTAGTGGTGGTCAGACTTGAGACACTCTTGCGGGGCAAAACCGAACGCACACGAAAACGGGAGGAACAGAAAGTTATAAAGAAGACGGAGAAAGAAAGAAAGAGACAGAGACCGAACAAAAGAAAAAAAAAGAAAGAAAGAAAGAAAGAAACACCCTGGAAGGAGGGATCATCAGCGTCCTATCCTCGAGTCTATCTCTTTCCCACTCTCTCTCTTTCTTTCTCTCCCCCGATTCCGGTTCGATTCCCATCCCAGCGAAAAGGAGAGAAAGAATCCGGCATAATTCCAGCCCGTTAGCAGGTATACTACCAAAAACGATCTCTATTCGAGACCTGCCACTCGCGAGACGACCAAATATTTCCACCGTCATCGATTCACGGCCACCGCCGCCGCGACGTTCTATGTGTGTGTGTCGC